GGAAAGCTATAAAGAATATCTCATTCACTGTGAGGGTCCCTCATGTTAAAGGCCGTCCCAAACCAGAGAGACATTCAGTTCCATGTATAATGTGAGTTTATGGACATTGTCTTCCTCAAATAAAAGGGGTGTCCCCATAATGTGGAGTGTCTTTCACAGCTGAGGGAGTGAGGGAGGGGTCGGTTTGGGAAAAGGCCACAGTGTTAATTACTTTACCGTAATATAAAGAAGGATATAAAATAAACAGGTAAACTCTTCATGGTTCACCTTAATGAGAAACTGACATATTACACTGACAGACACCTTGCTCACTGGTTGGGTTTGGGAAATGCCTTTCAAGAAGAGACATAGTGGACAAGAAAAGGATGTATAACTGGATTGAGGTTGAGCTTGAAACAATACAACATTTTTGTCCCAAAAAACATTTGCCAAAAGTAAAATTCTCTCTTGATCATTTCAATGAGTTTTTATGGAATTGAGACTCACTTGTCAGAACACTTAGATATACTATTGCATCATGATTAGGGCTCGTCCCCTGCCGACAGGCATATTGACCAGCATCCTCAGCAGTGATGTTGTTAATGACCAAAGAGCAGGAAGTGTCCAGACTCATCCTGGCAGCTCGGGCTGAGCTCTCCACAACTTTTCCTTTCCGAACCTCAATGGAACTATAAGACTGATATGTGTTGTAAAACCATGTAATGATGGAGCATGTTGTGTCAGAGGGTGATGCACTGGTACAGGGCAGAATAACATCATGTCCAGATCTGTTGTAGAGATAGATAGGTTCTCCACTGATGCCTGCTGGGAAGAAAAGAATACATGTTCTGTAAGAAATGACACATAAAACCATCTGTATGGAGACTAAACAGTTAACATGAGGATTTTATTTCATTTTATTCTCAAAACAAAAACAAAGATTGTTCCGTTATAAACTGTTTTTTTATTGTTGCTGTTTTTTCACATTTGCAACCACAGGGAGGGAGTGTGTGACCCTCGGCCATCTAGTGGTTGTGTTTATATGAGAGTAATTCTCATTTCTATCTCAGTAAATCAGTGAGTCAAGGGCTCTTTGGGATACAGCTTACCTCCACTGTGAAAACTGGAACAAAACAAGCAACACACAGTCGATCACAATGAACAAATGTTGTCTGAGACCAAATAAAAACTGCAGATCTGATCTTATTGTCTTTGTTTACTTTTGTATGTACTTGTGTCATCTTATGCACTTTATGTACTAACTGCATCAAGTTAAAATGTAAATACAATAATACTTTATCACATGGATGGAATAAAGTGTCGGATCTAAAAAATGCCTTACCACCCCAGTTTGGTGTCAATTGCCGTCACATTTTAACACATTTTGACGTCTATTTATATTTATTTTAGAATTGGTGTGTTAAAAAATTAAACATATATAGTTTAATGATCTGTTATGGTCACATCATAGACTCAGTGATCAGCTTAAGTTCAATAAACACACAAAAATGTCTGAAGATATAGATATTTAACAATTTATTGTTTTCTAATGCCACATTTATATATTTCTATCTAAATCTATTCTATTTCTATGACCAATGTGCCACAATAGTGTAATGTTATTGAGTTAAAATGTGATTAAATCAGCAGATATTTCTGCCACGCTCTTACCACACCATGAATATTTCTCTAGATCCGCCCCTGGGTGGAGTTTAAAGGAACCAATGAGAACACAGAGAGCAGACGGACTATATGATCATTACTTATCTTTATATCTACTATGTTGAAGTATATATGTATTTAAGGATCTATCTAAAAATAATTGATTCATATTGCTATCCTGTTCTTGTCTCACAACCGTTGGTTCATTTTTACAGGCCAGAAAGTTGATCAAAGCTCATTAAAATGGCTTTTAAGTAAGACAATAGTGACTACTTCCTCATTATTTTTCACTCGAGCAGTTAACAAATGTTAATGGAAATTCTCAAACTCTAGTGTTTCTATTAATAATATTATTATTACCATTTTAATAAGAAAACAGAGCTTTACCTTCAAAGTGAAGCACAAAAATAAGGATTAATTCCAGTAGAGACATTTTGTGTCTATTCTCTGTCAGCATGCGGACGCTGTGTGAGGCTTTTCTTCTCTACTATAGATCTGTTAATGGCGGCAATGAAACAAAGTTCCTGTTTGTGGATGACTTAGTGTGTGAAAATAACTTTTAACAGCAACACCCACCACCCAGCCCGCCACAAGTGCCACAGAGTTAGACTATCATCACTTCTATGTTCCTTTCAAGCAGACTGCACACGACAGCCACAAAAGAAAGAAACTTGTGTTTCACAAACTTGATACTTCTTAAACAAAAAGATTAGAATATAACTTTTTATTAAGTTTTTAAATCATTTAAGATACATTAAACGTGACTTTACTGAACAGATATACAGCTCATAATCTACAGGAAGTAATGAGACTTCCCCAAAATATACAAACAGTACATGTTAAGACACATAAATATCCTTCTTTCCTTTTTTTTATCAGATGAAAACCTTGTATGTCCAAATGTCAACATGCTGGAAACTCAAACGGTAATCTTTTATCAGCTGGATGATGGTACATTTTGGTCTCATTTAAAGGAATTTGTGAGAGTTATTTTAGCCCCAGACTCAAGTGTGATCAACATAAAGAGTAATGGAAATGACGTCATTGTTCATTCTGTCACTTCAGGGGTCAAAAGAGGAAGGAACAACAACATTTTGACAGATCTGTCTCTGCTGCAGTGCTCCCCCACGTGGTTCTTTATTTTCCTTCATGTACACACTGTGTGTCACTTTTAACTAAATATACAATATGTTAATGACTATTCATTGTAACAGAACATATATTATCACTTGAGAAATGTTGTGTTGTAACATAACACCAATGTATACAACTGGAGTACTTTATTTACCTTTATTACAAAACAGTAAAATATTTACACACAGGCTTTTTATATAAGTTGAAACAGTAGAAAGTCTGGGCAGTGTTTATGAACATAAAGTCTAACTTTAACAAAAGATATGAGTTTTGATGGTTTAAGGATATGAAACTCTTCTGCAGCCAATCTAGTTATAGTCAGATTCCAGATGGTTACAGACAGTTTTTATTACACATAAATAAATGCACTCAAGGATCTACAAAGATAAATTATATACAGTATATGTTGTTTCTGTCATGGGAATAAAATATGTCCTCTGGATACTTTGATGATAGTTTGTTGCTAGAAAACCCACAAGATGGTGCTACTGTTCTTTAATGCCTCCATGTCTCACTGACAGTGGCAGACTGTAGTTATAATAAGCTGTACCTCAGGTTATCAGAACACCACTAACAACATAAGGTCTTTGCTGGATAGAAGGAATGTCAGTGAGTTACTTTGCTAATGCGCTGACTAATGTATTCATAACTTAATGTGGACACAAACTCAATACTGTCAAATAAAACATAGTTAGACACACTCAGGTTGAATATGATGGTTAATACTGTCAGGCTGACATCAGACTGTCAACACATTTATTTGCTCAAGTTGCCAATTTATTGCTTTTTTGCAAAAAGAAAAGCTGAAATAACTCTGACATATTATCACGTATACAACAGATGTTATACAACAGCTGTATTTACAACATCCAGCAAAGCAGCAGCAAGTTGTGTTCTTATCCACCTGTTTAATGTAAGCCCACCATTCACTCTTGTTTTAGGTCTGTGTTGATCTCCACCAACTCCTTAAAAACATTTCTGGCTCTTTAGCTGCTAAATGTTCCTTTATGTTCAACAGCTCGTCCCTAACTGTGTCTGTTGGTTGTTTGGTGCTGAGCAGGTAGTTTACAGTAGAGCTTCCTGCTACTGCTGGAAACAGGGCTGGTGCATACTTTTAAAAACAAGGAGGATTTCAAAACGCTTTCAGACTTTCAGTGCCTTTGATTTGTGCATTCTGGTGACTTAAAGCACTTAAAATGACAAAATAATAAGCACACTGCAACATATTTTGCAGTTAATCCTCAGGGAAGACTTAATAATAACCTGAATAATAATTTGGCCCTCTGACGTGAACTTGTTTGAATCTCTGGCATAAACTCATGTTCTTCAGTTTTCACTCAGTCATTCATTCTCTTGTCTCAGGGTTGGAAAAGTATGATTTACTCAAGCGTTAATTGAAAGGCCAAAGAGCACATCATCAACTAACATTAGTTTGTGAGGTTACAGATTACATTAAAAAGCATTGATGGTTGGGAGGATAACTTTTTGCCTGTATTGTTGTCCATGTGGAAAAATGACTGTGATGATATTTGACTTTCTGGTGAGCTGACGTTGGTGTGGAAGTTGTTGATCAGTGCAGTCTAGTAGTAGCAGGACGTGCTTCTACAGTTTCATAATTGATTTGGTCGCCATCCTGATGCACCTGTGAAATACAACACAACCAATGAGATTCTGAATTTTTTGAAGGGAACAAACTGTTGATGTTTCTACCAGAGAGACTGCAGCCTCTGTGGGCACAGAAGGAACAACAGTCTCAAATGAAGAAGATACATCTTTTATTTTCCAAATCTTATTCATTATTTTTTAACTTACATTGTCGTCATCAAGTGGTTTTGTGTTCACTGAAAAACAACAATAAAAAGTACCATTAAAATTCTAAACATATGATTTATATGAAGCAGTTGTACCAAATGATGGTCTGAGTTTCCTCACCTCTGTGTCTGATGACAAGAACAGTGATTACAATCATTAGGATCAGTGCTGTTATTCTTAGAGCCAACATGATAGGGCTCAGAGGCCAATCTGTAGAATCTGTTGAACATGATTTAGAAAGAAATACGTCACTGTAATCACAGTATATAAGTTCAATAGTTAATGGCCTACAAGAAAATATAACCAGAATGTTAAAAATTGTTCTACTGTGAAAATACTTTATCTCCAACATGTGAAACTTTGAGAAACCAACAGGCAAAGCTCTGTATCTGTTGAGCTGCATATTATCTTACCTGAATGAGGTTTTTCTGGCTGATCGTCTCCTATCCCTCCTATGAAGACAGGTGTGTAGTCAGCCTCTATCTTTACATTGTTCTCATCAACAAACTGGCAGGTGTATCTCCTGTTGTGGCCACTCTGACGCTTCACTTTCAGAACAGAGACACAGTTCATCTGTCCGATGAACTTGTACCCGACACCTTCATCAAGCAGCACAGTTCCTGTCTCATCCACCCAGCGGACACTGTTCTGTTTACAAGGACCGAGTTCAATGTATCTCGACAGAGAGCACTCTAATGTGACTTCACCGTCCCTCTTTGGATCAGCGTCTGGAGGAGATGGAGAGACTGAGAGAAAACAAGTGATAACTGTTAACTCAGTGTAAAAAATGTATGAGTGACTTTACTTAAAGGACAATGCTGGTGCAAAATGAACCTGGGGTTAATAACACATGTGTACCGAGTTGGTCCGTTCTCTGGGATATGTTTTCATGCTAATCGACCGTGACCGGTTTTGGACAAACCGTTAATTAGCTTATAAAGCTAGTCAACGGGGCACAGAGTAACGTGAAAAGAAATCACTTTTTATACCACTAACAAGACTCAAAATAGCACCACACTTACACGGTAGCATAATGAGGGTCCCTACCTATAAACCGAAGCATTGAGAACTTTGTAAGTGTACAGACAGTTTATTAAAAAGATAGTTTAGAACAACAGTAGCGTTCGCGTATACAGGCGGGCGCTATCTTGGGAAAACAGTCAGGGGTTCGGTCATTCATGCAGATCAATGATCAAGATTTACAGCTGGCGATGTGAACTAAAACAGACGTAATTTGCTCAATATATCAGAAATAATCGCACCGATGTAAAACACAACTTGTCTAGTGTACTTACTCAGTGGATAACTGTCCATCTGGTCCCTCCGCTATGAGTCGCTGCGAGTACAGCTCTGTTTATCAGAGAGGGGAAATCTGTACTGACTGTACAAAACACTGCGTCTCTTGGGTGTCGCGACGCAACAAAGTTCCCAATGCTTCGGTTTATAGGTAGGGACCCTCATTATGCTACCGTGTAAGTGTGGTGCTATTTTGAGTCTTGTTAGTGGTATAAAAAGTGATTTCTTTTCACGTTACTCGGTGCCCCGTTGACTAGCGTTATAAGCTAATTAGCAGTTTGTGCTAAAACCGGTCACGGTCGATTAGCATGAAAACATATCCCAGAGAACGGACCAACTCGGTACACATGTGTTATTAACCCCAGGTTCATTTTGCACCAGCATTGTCCTTTAAAGGTCCTGACAAGTTTCTATTCATCTTCTGTCATCTTTGTTTTACTGAGTTAAAATATGAAGGTGGACTGAACCACATGGAATCAACAACTTTCAATTGTGGTTTGACAAACAAAATAAGGAAAGGAAATGATAAAAGGAAAACTATAAAGAATATCTCATTCACTGTGAGGGTCCCTCATGTTAAGGGCCGTCCCAAACCAGAGAGACATTCAGTTCCATGTATAATGTGAGTTTATGGACATTGTCTTCCTCAAATAAAAGGGGTGTCCCCATAATGTGGAGTGTCTTTCACAGCTGAGGGAGTGAGGGAGGGGTCGGTTTGGGAAAAGGCCACAGTGTTAATTACTTCACCGTAATATATAGAAGGATATAAAATAAACAGGTAAACTCTTCATGGTTCACCTTAATCAGAAACTGACATATTACACTGACAGACACCTTGCTCACTGGTTGGGTTTGGGAAATGCCTTTAAAGAAGAGACATAGTGGACAAGAAAAGGATGTATAACTGGATTGAGGTTGAGCTTGAAACAATACAACATTTTTGTCCCAAAAAACATTTGCCAAAAGTAAAATTCTCTCTTGATCATTTCAATGAGTTTTTATGGAATTGAGACTCACTTTTCAGAACACTTAGATATACTATTGCATCATGATTAGGGCTCCTCCCCTGCCGACAGGCATATTGACCAATATCCTCAGCAGTGATGTTGTTAATGACCAAAGAGCAGGAAGTGTCCAGACTCATCCTGGCAGCTCGGGCTGAGCTCTCCACAACTTTTCCTTTCCGAACCTCAATGGAACTATAAGACTGATATGTGTTGTAAAACCATGTAATGATGGAGCATGTTGTGTCAGAGGGTGATGCACTGGCACAGGGCAGAATAACATCATGTCCAGATCTGTTGTAGAGATAGATAGGTTCTCCACTGATGCCTGCTGGGAAGAAAAGAATACATGTTCTGTAAGAAATTACACATAAAATCATCTGTATGGAGACTAAACAGTTAACATGAGGATTTTATTTCATCTTATTCTCAAACAAAAACAAAGATTGTTCCGTTATGAACTGTTTTTTTCATTGTTGCTGTTTTTTCACATTTGCAACCACAGGGAGGGAGTGTGTGACCCTCGGCCATCTAGTGGTTGTGTTTATATGAGAGTAATTCTCATTTCTATCTCAGTAAATCAGTGAATCAAGGGCTCTTTGGGATACAGCTTACCTCCACTGTGAAAACTGGAACAAAACAAGCAACACACAGTCGATCACAATGAACAAATGTTGTCTGAGACCAAATTAAAACTGCAGATCTGATCCTATTGTCTTTGTTTACTTGTGTATGTACTTGTGTCATCTTATGCACTTTATGTACTAACTGCATCAAGTTAGAATGTAAATACAATAATACTTTATCACATGGATGGAATCAAGTGTTGGATCTAAAAAAATGCCTTACCACCCCAGTTTGGTGTCAATTGCCATCAAATATGACGTCTATTTATATTTATTTTAGAATTAGTGTGTTAAAAAACGAAACATATATCATTTAATGATCTTTTATGGCCACATTTTAGACTCAGTGATCAGATTAAGTTCAATAAACACACAAAAATGTCTGAAGATTTGGATATTTAACAATTTATTGTTTTCTAATGCCACATTTATATATTTCTATCTGAATCTATTCTATTTCTATTACCAATGTGCCACAATAGTGTAATGTTATTGAGTTAAAATGTGATTAAATCAGCAGATATTTCTGCCACCCTCTTACCACACCATGAATATTTCTCTAGATCCGCCCCTGGGTGGAGTTTAAAGGAACCAATGAGAACACAGAGAGCAGACTGACTATATGATCATTACTTATCTTTATATCTACTATGTTGAAGTATATATGCATTTAAGGATCTATCTAAAAATAATTGATTCATATTGCTATCCTGTTCTTGTATCACAGCCGTTGGTTAATTTTTACAGGCCAGAAAGTTGATCAAAGCTCATTAAAATGGCTTTTAAAGTAAGACAATAGTGACTACTTCCTCATTATTTTTCACACGAGCCATTAAAAAATGTTAATGGAAATTCTCAAACTCTAGTGTTTCTATTAATAATATTGTTATTACCATTTTAATAAGAAAACAGAGCTTTACCTTCAAAGTGAAGCACAAAAATAAGGATTAATTCCAGTAGAGACATTTTGTGTCTATTCTCTGTCAGCAGGCGGACGCTGTGTGAGGCTTTTCTTCTCTACTATAGATCTGTAAATGGCGACGATTAAACAAAGTTCCTGTTTGTGGATGACTTAATGTGTGAAAATAACTTTCACCCAGCCCCCCACAAGTGCCACAGAGTTAGACTATCACTTCTATGTTCCTTTCAAGCAGACTGCACACGACAGCCACAAAAGAAAGAAACTTGTGTTTCACAAACTTGATACTTCTTAAACAAAAAGATTAGAATATAACTTTTTATTAAGTTTTTAAATCATTTAAGATACATTAAACGTGACTTTACTGAACAGATATACAGCTCATAATCTACAGGAAGTAATGAGACTTCCCCAAAATATACAAACAGTACATGTTAAGACACATAAATATCCTTCTTTCCTTTTTTTTATCAGATGAAAACCTTGTATGTCCAAATGTCAACATGCTGGAAACTCAAACGGTAATCTTTTATCAGCTGGATGATGGTACATTTTGGTCTCATTTAAAGGAATTTGTGAGAGTTATTTTAGCCCCAGACTCAAGTGTGATCAACATACAGAGTAATGGAAATGACGTCATTGTTCATTCTGTCACTTCAGGGGTCAAAAGAGGAAGGAACAACAACATTTTGACAGATCTTTCTCTGCTGCAGTGCTCCCCCACGTGGTTCTTTATTTTCCTTCATGTACACCCTGTGTGTCACTTTTAACTAAATATACAATATGTTAATGACTATTCATTGTAACAGAACATATATTATCACTTGAGAAATGTTGTGTTGTAACATAACACCAATGTATACAACTGGAGTACTTTATTTACCTTTATTACAAAACAGTAAAATATTTACACACAGGCTTTTTATATAAGTTGAAACAGTAGAAAGTCTGGGCAGTGTTTATGAACATAAAGCCTAACTTTAACAAAAGATATGAGTTTTGATGGTTTAAGGATATGAAACTCTTCTGCAGCCAATCTAGTTATAGTCAGATTTCAGATGGTTACAGACAGTTTTTATTACACATAAATTAAATGCACTCAAGGATCTACAAAGATAAATTATATACAGTATATGTTGTTTCTGTCATGGGAATAAAATATGTCCTCTGGATACTTTGATGATAGTTTGTTGCTAGAAAACCCACAAGATGGTGCTACTGTTCTTTAATGCCTCCATGTCTCACTGACAGTGGCAGACTGTAGTTATAATAAGCTGTACCTCAGGTTATCAGAACACCACTAACAACATAAGGTCTTTGCTGGATAGAAGGAATGTCAGTGAGTTACTTTGCTAATGCGCTGGCTAATGTATTCATAACTTAATGTGGACACAAACTCAATACTGTCAAATAAAACATAGTTAGACACACTCAGGTTGAATATGATGGTTAATACTGTCAGGCTGACATCAGACTATCAACACATTTATATGAGAAAATGTTTAAACAGAAACAAAATTATTTAAAATAATTTAAAGCTCAAGTTACCAATTTATTGCTTCTTTGAAAAAGAAAATCTGAAAAAAAACTCTGACATATTATCACGTATACAACAGACAGCTGTATTTACAACATCCAGCAAAGCAGCAGCAAGTTGTGTTCTTATCCACCTGTTTAATGTAAGCCCAACATTCACTCTTGTTTTAGGTCTGTGTTGATCTCCACCAACTCCTTAAAAACATTTCTGGCTCTTTAGCTGCTAAATGTTCCTTTATGTTCAACAGCTCGTCCCTAACTGTGTCTGTTGGTTGTTTGGTGCTGAGCAGGTAGTTTACAGTAGAGCTTCCTGCTACTGCTGGAAACAGGGCTGGTGCATACTTTTAAAAACAGGGAGGATTTCAAAACGCTTTCAGACTTTCAGAGCCTTTGATTTGTGCATTCTGGTGACTTAAAGCACTTAAAATGACAAAATAATAAGCACACTGCAACATATTTTGCTGTTAATTCTCAGGGAAGACTTAATAATAACCTGAATAATAATTTGGCCCTCTGACGTGAACTTGTTTGAATCTCTGGCATAAACTCATGTTCTTCAGTTTTCACTCAGTCATTATTATTGTGCCTTGAAAAGCACAATACTACTCTTCCCCATACTTATTATTATTCTTCTGTACGTTTTTCGGCACGTTTCTCCTCCCGCAGTTTTGGTCGCACATACACAAAAAAGGTATCAAAACGTGCGGCTCGGTGAGGACATTAGTGCTGAGACTTTTCTAAGCGTTTCGCCAAACAGTTTGCCGATAAATCGCCAAAAACCGGTCCAAAAAATGAATGGGTGTGTATTGCGAGAATGTTCAACCGCCAGAGTGCGTGACATCATCGCTAGAGTGTGGGGAGAGGAAAAAATTTGTTGAAAAATAAATTTGTAAACTGCTCTCAAGGCCACAAATATCACTCTACAAAAATAATTTGTAGATAGAAACGTAGGTAAACTCGTTGGGGTCGCAGTGATACCACTGTTGAAGCTGTCAGACAAATAGTTTTGGCGGGAGACGCACTGATGCGCCAGCAACACCCTCTCACGGCCCCATCTACTCCCATGTTAAATGTAGAGGAGAAATGTTTAACGGAGCTCGTTGAACCTCTTCTCTCTCAATCTCCCCAGGTCACATTTTTTAACTTTAGCCACTGAAACTCGGCAGTGCTATAGTCAACAAGATGACGACGCTCACGGTCTTCTCGGTTTTAATTTCGGTCGTTCCTGGCCATGGGTTCGAGGGTATTCATTTTAAATGTTTCTGTCTCTCTGAGGAGTTAGAGACAGAGAGAGAGCGCGCGCAGCTGCTGTGGTTGTTGCCCTGATTGCCATGACAACCAAAGCCTGCTCACACACACACACACACACACACACACACACACACACACACACACACACACACACACACACACACACACACACACACACACACACACACAGACACACACACACACACATAGCTAGCTACAGAGGCTGACATGGCATTAATATGCTAGTGCTAACGTGCTAGAGAGCAAGGCACAATCAAAATTTCTTTAGGAATTTTCTAGTTCATTCTCTTGTCTCAGGGTTGGAAAAGTATGATTTACTCAAACGTTAATTCAAAGGCCAAAGAGCACATCATCAACTAACATTAGTTTGTGAGGTTACAGTAGGGTGACCAGACGTCCCAGATTTTCGGGGACAGTCCCCGATTTGGCCGACCTGTCCCCGCTTAAAGCTGTCCCCGAGAATGTCCCCGATTTGAACGGGGGGAAAAAAAAGTTGCGTATGGATGCACACTCCAGTTATTATGGTTAAACCAGTTTAACTAACGTGCTGACGTTACGCAGTAAATGGCTTGTGTCGACCGGCTGGTCTCTGCTCCCGCTGTGCTGCGGCACATCCACGCCACAACAGCAGAGCGCTCCTCTGCTCGTCCGTGCAGCTGCAGGTGAGTGACGGGGGAGCCAGCTGGAGAGCGCCTCCTTTTTTATTTTATTTTAGGGGCACCGTCCTTACAGGGGGAAGCACGCGTTGCAGGTTGCACTCAGAGTTTGTTCTGACTTTCTATCACAAGGAGTGTACAGCGTAAGTGTAAATCCTCTCATGTAATGCTTTGCTGTGAAATATGGCTGAAGTCACGAGTGGAAGTGTGCACATGTTGACAAGCTCCCGTGAGTTGATTGACATAGCTAAAAAAAAAAAAAAACTATAAATAATAATAATAATAAGAAGAAGAATCAGAGTCAAATCAGAATCCAAGTTCTTCATATTGGTTAACAGTTTGGATGGGTTAAAGGTAACTTCTTATTGGCTACTCATTTGCTTTGTCAAAATACATTAACATGTAATTGCCCCTATTATTTATTTTATAACGATAACGATTAACAATTTTGACCACCGCGCTAAAAAATGTCCCCGATTTTCATTTCGGAAATCTGGTCACCTTAGGTTACAGATTACATTAAAGAAGCATTGATGGTTGGGAGGATAACTTTTTGCCTGTATTGTTGTCCATGTGGAAAAATGACTGTGATGATATTTGACTTTCTGGTGAGCTGACGTTGGTGTGGAAGTTGTTGATCAGTGCAGTCTATTAGTAGCAGGACGTGCTTCTACATTTTCATAATTGACTTCGTGGCCATCCTGATGCACCTGTGAAATACAACACAACCAATGAGATTCTGAATTGTTTGAAGGGAACAAACTGTTGATGTTTCTACCAGAGAGACTGCAGCCTCTGTGGGCACAGAAGGAACAACAGTCTCAAATGAAAAAGTTACATCTTTTATTTTCCTAATCTTATTCATTATTTTTTAACTCACATTTTTGTCATCAAGTGGTTTTGTGTTCACTGAAAAACAACAATAAAAAGTACCATTAAAATTCTAAACATATGATTTATATGAAGCAGTTGTACCAAATGATGGTCTGAGTTTCCTCACCTCTGTGTCTGATGACAAGAACAGTGATTACAATCATTAAGGTCAGTGCTGTTATTCTTAGAGCCAACATGATAGGGCTCAGAGGCCAATCTGTAGAATCTGTTGAACATGATTTAGAAAGAAATACGTCACTGTTGTCACAGTAAATAAGTTCAATAGTTAATGGCCTACAAGAAAAAATAACCAGAATGTTACAAATTGTTCTACTGTGAAAATACTTTATCTCCAACATGTGAAACTTTGAGAAACCAACAGGCAAAGCTCTGTATCTGTTGAGCTGCATATTATTTTACCTGAATGAGGTTCTCCTGGCTGATCGTCTCCTGTCCCTCCTATGAAGACAGGTGTGTAGTCAGCCTCTATCTTTACATTGTTCTCATCAACAAACTGGCAGGTGTATCTCCTGTTGTGCCCACTCTGACGCTTCACTTTCAGAACAGAGACACAGCTCATCTGTCCGAGGAACTTGTACCCGACACCTTCATCAAGCAGCACAGTTCCTGTCTCATTCACCCAGCGGACGCTGTTCTGTTTACAAGGACCGAGTACATTGTATCTCGACAGAGAGCAATCTAATGTGACTTCACCGTCCCTCTTTGGATCAGCGTCTGGAGGAGATGGAGAGACTGAGAGAAAACAAGTGATAACTGTTAACTCAGTGTAAAAAATGTCTTGAGCGACTTTACTTAAAGGAAAATGCTGGTGCAAAATGAACCTGGGGTTAATAACACATGTGTACCGAGTTGGTCCGTTCTCTGGGATATGTTTTCATGCTAATCGACCGTGACCCGTTTTAGCACAAACTGTTAATTAGCTTATAACGCTAGTCAACGGGGCACAGAGTAACGTGAAAAGAAATCACTTTTTATACCACTAACAAGACTCAAAATAGCACCACACTTACACGGTAGCATAATGAGGGTCCCTACCTATAAACCGAAGCATTGAGAACTTTGTAAGTGTACAGACAGTTTATTAAAAAGATAGTTTAGAACAACAGTAGCGTTCGCGTATACAGGCGGGCGCTATCTTGGGAAAACAGTCAGGGGTTCGGTCATTCATGCAGATCAATGATCAAGATTTACAGCTGGCGATGTGAACTAAAACAAACGTAATTTGCTCAATATATCAGAAATAATCCCACCGATGTAAAACACAACTTGTCTAGTGTACTTACTCAGTGGATAACTGTCCATCTGGTCCCTCCGCTATGAGTCGCTGCGAGTACAGCTCTGTTTATCAGAGAGGGGAAATCTGTACTGACTGTACAAAACACTGCGTCTCTTGGGTGTCGCGACGCAACAGGTCCCACTCACCACCAGTTTCCCGAAGTACGAGGCTGTGTTGCGGCATTGACTACCGGTAGCTCTCTCTCTCTCGTAGCCCTTTCACGGAGCTCCCGCAGCTCTTCGTCTGTATATTCCGGCTCCAAAAGATAAGGACGTCTATCAAACTGAAAGGGTTCGTTGTCGATGTCTTCAAATTCAGTTGAATAATCCGCCATTTCTTTAGTGTGTATCCTGTGGAAGCACTAGTCTCTGTTGCGTTCAGTGCTTCTCTTATGTGCTCAGTGCTTTCTTCCAGCAACAACGTTTCCACGGAGACGTGAAGTGAATTTCGCGTGAAACGCTGATAAACAGAGCTGTACTCGAAACTTTTTTCCACGTCCCGAAAATAAATTGGAGGCAGCGACTCATACCGGACGGACCAGATGGACAGTTATCCACTGAGTAAATACACTAGACAAGTTGTGTTTTACATCGGTGGGATTATTTCTGATATATTGAACAAATTACGTTTGTTTTAGTTCACATCGCCAGCTGTAAATCTTGATCATTGATCTGCATGAATGACCGAACCCCTGACTGTTTTCCCAAGATAGCGCCCGCCTGTATACGCGAACGCTACTTTTGTTCTAAACTATCTTTTTAATAAACTGTCTGTACACTTACAAAGTTCTCAATGCTTCGGTTTATAGGTAGGGACCCTCATTATGCTACCGTGTAAGTGTGGTGCTATTTTGAGTCTTGTTAGTGGTATAAAAAGTGATTTCTTTTCACGTTACTCTGTGCCCCGTTGACTAGCGTAATAAGCTAATTAACAGTTTGTGCTAAAACCAGTCACGGTCGATTAGCATGAAAACATATCCCAGAGAACGGACCAACTTGGTACACATGTGTTATTAACCCCAGGTTCATTTTGCGCCAGAATTGTCCTTTAATCAGAAACTGACATATCACACTGACAGACACCTTGCTCACTGGTTGGGTTTGGGAAATGCCTTTCAAGAAGAGACATAGTGGACAAGAAAAGGATGTATAACTGGATTGAGGTTGAGCTTGAAACAATACAACATTTTTGTCCCAAAAAACATTTGCCAAAAGTAAAATTCTCTCTTGATCATTTCAATGAGTTTTCATGGAATTGAGACTCACTTGTGAGAACATTTAGATATATATATACATCATTATAACTGTCCCTCCCCTTACGACAGGTGTATTGACCAACATCCTCAGCAGTGATGTTGTTAATGACCAAAGAGCAGGAAGTGTCCAGACTCATCCTGGCAGCTCGGGCTGAGCTCTTCTCAACTTTTCCTTCCTGAACCTCAGTTAAAGTCTGAGATCGATCTCTGTTGTAAAACCATGTAATGATGGAGCATGTTGTGTCAGAGGGTGATGCACTGGTACAGGGCAGAATGACATCATGTCCAGATCTGTTGTAGAGATAGATAGGTTCTCCACTGATGCCTGCTGGGAAGAAAATAATACATGTTCTGTTAGAAATGACACATAAAACCATCTGTATGGAGACTAAACAGTTAACATGAGGATTTTATTTCATTTTATTCTCAAACAAAAACAAAGATTGTTCCGTTATGAACAGTTTTTTATTGTTGCTGTTTTTTTCACATTTGCAACCACAGGGAGGGAGTGTGTGACCCTCGGCCATCTAGTGGTTGTGTTTATATGAGAGTAATTCTCATTTCTATCTCAGTAAATCAGTGAGTCAAGGGCTCTTTGGGATACAGCTTACCTCCACTGTGAAAACTGGAACAAAACAAGCAACACACAGTCGATCACAATGAACAAATGTTGTCTGAGACCAAATAAAAACTGCAGATCTGATCTTATTGTCTTTGTTTACTTGTGTATGTACTTGTGTCATCTTATGCACTTTATGTACTAACTGCATCAAGTTAGAATGTAAATACAATAATACTTTATCATATGGATGGAATAAAGTGTCGGATCTAAAAAAATGCCTTACCACCCCAGTTTGGTGTCAATTGCCATCAAATATGACGTCTATTTATATTTATTCTAGAATTAGTGTGTTAAAAAATGAAACATATATAATTTAATGATCTGTTATGGTCACATCATAGACTCAGTGATCAGCTTAAGTTCAATAAACACACAAAAATGTCTGAAGATATAGATATTTAACAATTTATTGTTTTCTAATGCCACATTTATATATTTCTTTCTAAATCTATTCTATTTCTATTACCAATGGGCCACAATAGTGTAATGTTATTGAGTTAAAATGTGATTAAATCAGCAGATATTTCTGCCACCCTCTTACCACACCATGAATATTTCTCTAGATCCGCCCCTGGGTGGAGTTTAAAGGAACCAATGAGAACACAGAGAACAGACGGACTATATGATCATGACTTATCTTTATATCTACTATGTTGAAGTATATATGCATTTAAGGATCTATCTAAAAATAATTGATTCATATTGCTATCCTGTTCTTGTCTCACAGCCGTTGGTTCATTTTTACAGGCCAGAAAGTTGATCAAAGCTCATTAATGTGGCTTTTAAAGTAAGACAATAGTGACTACTTCCTCATTATTTTTCACTTGAGCCGTTAACAAATGTTAATGGAAATTCTCAAACTCTAGTGTTTCTATTAATAATATTATTATTACCATTTAAATAAGAAAACAGAGCTTTACCTTCAAAGTGAAGCACAAAAATAAGGATTAATTCCAGTAGAGACATTTTGTGTCTACTCTCTGTCAGCAGGCGGACGCTGTGTGAGGCTTTTCTTCTCTACTATAGATCTGTAAATGGCGGCAATGAAACAAAGTTCCTGTTTGTGGACGTCTTAATGTGTGAAAATAACTTTTAAAAGCAACACCCATCACCCAGCCTGTAATAAGTAACACAGAATTTGGCTTACATCACTTCCATGTTCTTTTTAAGCAGACTGCACACGACAGCCATAAAATAAACTTTGTCTTCACAAACTTGATACGTCTTGAACAAAATTATTAGAATATAACTTATACAATGTTTATTTCTTTAAGATACATTAAAAGTGACTTCACTGAACAGAGATACAGATCATTATCTACAGATGCTCCAGGAAGTGATGAGACTTCCCCAATATATACACACAATACATGTTAAGACACAGTAATATACATATTTTTTCTCTGTGTAGGTTGTAAAATGTTACCAGATGAAAACCTCCAACTGTCAACATGCTGGAAACTCAAAAGGTAATCTTTTATCAGATGGATGATGGTACATTTTGGTCTCATGCTAAGGAATTTGTTTTTTTTTAGCCCCAGACTCAAGTGTGATCAACATACAGAGAAATGGAAATGATGTCACTGTTCATTCTGTCACTTAAGTGGTCAAAAGAGGAAGTGACGTGTTTGACGATTCATTGTTACATAGCATATATTGTCACTTGAGATATGTTGTGTTGTAACATAACTCAAATGCTTAGAACTGGAGTACTTTGTTTACCTTTTTTACAAAAGTGTGAGATGAGATTACCCGCAGGGTTTTTATATAAGTTGAAACAGTCTGGGCAGTGTTTATGAACATAAAGCCTAACGTCCTGCAGTCAATCTCGTTATAGACATATCTAAGATGGTTACAGGAAGTTTTTATTACACAGAAATTAAATGCTCTGAAAGATCTAAATTATAAAACCCAAAACCATAAATTATATGCAGTGTATGTTTTTGTCATGGGAATTAATTATGTCCTCTGGATACTTTGATGATAGTTTGTTACTAAAATAACCCACAAGATGGTGCTAATGTTCCTAAATCCTCCATGTCTCACTGACAGTGGCAGACTGTAGTTACAATAAGCTGTACCTCTGTGAAAGTATGAATGTGACTTTAAATCTATTTACTTATTTTTTTACTATTATTTAACAAGATAAGTAATTTGTAGAACCATTCATCATTTACAATAATGACCTGACCAGGATAACTTTGTTGGGTTTTCACGAGGCTCGTGCCGATGGAGCTATTCACTCTGTCATAGCCTGCCTCCAACATGAATAAGGCCTGTGTGTGGACAGATTGTTGGTGTAAGGGTGAGTACAGTAGGTGACTGGTTGACAGAAGGGGTCTTTGAGCTCTGAGATGGGCAAGATGTTCTCCGAAGCTATTCACCTGTGCCTGTCTCAGACCTGATAGTGACAACTTCTCCACAAAAGGAGGACTTCATTTCAAGCTGATGGTGATTTAAATCATTGTCGGAGCCATCAGGGGCTTGGGGCCAAGTGTCAGAAGGATGGGTAAGGAATTGAGGCCCTTGACTCTACAGGTTTTGCCACTGGGTCTCTTAAAGGGTTTTGCCCCTGGTAA